TAAGGAAAAATCAACCCTAGACCTGCTAGGGAAAGACGTGCTAGATAGAAAAAAAGTTAAACAGTGACATTTGGAATATGGGATTCGGAAAAGCTTTATATTTAAAAAATGTTCGGAACACGTTTTTTCGAATAACGAATTCTCGTAAACCCCCAAAACGTTCCCATTGTTTTACGTTATGTTTTATTTTTGACCGTTTTCAGTTCCAGACCATATCAGATCAGACCTGAGCATACTTCATAGTTATAAAATATATAGAGACCAGACATTTATCACACCAGATAAGTTCAAATCAGAGCAAACGAGAACACATCATATCAAATCAGACCAGATCGGGAGATTCTAATCCAAAAGAAAACATCATACGTAGTATAAAGAAACAAGTTTAGTGCTTTGGTTCAAAAATGGTTGTTTTGAATGCTGGATTACCAAACAGGTGTTGTAAATGTTAACCCTCAAATTTCGCCAATCGCCATGTATGCGTACACTTAAGGGCTTGATTATTGACTAACACCGACCAAGGATTGAATGTGACGACGCATTTCACATCCTATGACAGCATTTAGTTCAATTCATGGATCCATATATACATATACATGGGCAAGAACTGGCTAACCGATAATTTTGGTATATTAGTTTGGTAGTGATGATAATTCACTACTAGCTAGAAAACAACAATATTGGTACAAACTTGACACATATTTATCGAGTTTGTCACGAATCGTCGGATCATATAACATATTTTTGACACGACGCCGTACCAAATGGCTGTTGACAAAACGACATTGGCACGGAATTAGGAACAGATTGGACGTATCCATGCCAAATACCCTATAAATTTTGGCTAATCCGTGCCAAAGATCCGTGTCAAGTTCGTGCCAAAATCGTTTATCTTGGTAGTGTATAATGTGTTCAAAGTTAATTTACTTTTATTAACACAGAATTACTCACATCAGTTACATTACTAACATGTGCTATAAAATACATACGACAATGATATGGGCAATGGTAGGATTTGCTAAGGGTTCAGGGAGTTATAGAATTTTACCAAATTTACTCCTACTGTTACTATTATTAGTTTTATTTTGCATACTATTAATATTTAATGTTAATATTTCCTTACATGTATTGCACTAGCTATTACGGAAGTTATTTATTTATTGTGGGAAGGTTAGCTGTATTTTATTCCCTTCCTTTTTTGTAGTAGCACACTTTAAAATATAAGTCAGCCTTTGGCTAATTCAAAGAGTACGATGGAATAATATTGGCTTTGCCATTATCTTCTTTCTTCATACATCCGAATTGTATTATGGTATCAGAGCCTAAAAGGCAGTGATACGCACGTATATCTCCATGGCGAACGATCAAGATAACACTAAATCACCGGTTTCATAGAAAAATGTAGATCATTCTTCTCCATATTTCTCGGGATCCGGTGACCGTCCTGGCGACTTCATTACCCCCGTTCGACTTACCAGCGAAAATTACGACGAGTGAGCTAGTTCTGTCCGCTTGGCTTTGCGAGCACGTCGGAAGTTTGTCTTCGTTAATGGCACCATAAAGAAGCCGGAGCCGCCGTGGACGGAAGAAGATTGGCTTACCATACACTCCATGTTGGTGTCTTTGATTTTGAACACCATATCTCCGGAGGTAAAATCGACGCTCTCTAAATTTGAAAATGCAAGATTACCGTGGAACGATTTAGAAGAACGTTTCTCTCTCGTGGATGGACCTAGGATTCATCAGGTCAAATGTGATTTGGCCCGCTGTGAGCAATCCAAAAATATGTCGGTTGGATCCTACTATGCTAAACTTAAAGTTTTATGGGACGATTTAAATAATTTTGAGCCGCTTATTGCGTGTTCATGTGGAAAATGCACGTGTGACCTTGGAAGTTTGCATGAGAAGCGTAGCGAGTCGGAGCGATTTCATCAATTCTTGATGGGTCTCTTCTCGAAACACTATGGGCAAATTCGCTCTTAGTTATTGTCTCAAACACAGCTGCCTTCTTTGACCCGGGCCTTTCAACAAGTTTCATAGGAGGAGAGGGTACGTGGCATCACACAAATCGGGAGGAGCCTCAAGAGCTGGTTGGATTTGATGTACGCACTGCCGGCCGAGGAAAGTCACGATCTGAGAAGGCAGATAAATCTGGCCTTATTTGTTCTCACTGTAAGTACCCAGGTCATGATGTGGCTAACTGTTTTGAATTGTTGGGGTACCCTGATTGGTGGGGTGACAGACCACGTGGTGGAATTAATAAAGCTTCTGGTCATGGGAAAACAAGTGTTGTGCACGACGCTTCACGTACGGGGGCATGCATGGGGAACTCGTGGTAAGAATCCTGTGCGTGCGCATGCAGCCACTACAGACCCTTTGACGGACTGTTCTGGTGATACTTCAATGACGGCACCTCTTCCGGGTTTGTCGGCAGAACAATGGAAGACTCTGATCGCATATTTTGGTAACCCTCAAACTCAACCAGAGCGCATGTCCGGTAAGTTGCCTAATACTACATCTTGGAATATAGATGCCGGAGCCTCCAATCATGTCACGGTAAATATTTCTTATCTCTATGATGTACAAAATGTTACCCTCACCCGGTTGGCCTTCCTGATGGACAAAATGTTGTTGCAACCAAGAAAGGGATGATTCGCTTAACTGATGAAATTCATCTTAAAAATGTTCTGTTTGTACCCAAATTAAATTGTAACTTAATTTCGGTATCTCAATTTAATGACGATATGCCGAGTTTTATTCAATTTACATCTAACATGTGTGTTATACAAGCCCTACACTCAAAGAAGCTGATTGGAACGGGTGAGAGGAGGGATGAACTATATTATTTCAGATCAATACCGACGGTGAACTCAATTATGGTGGACGGCGTATCATCTTCTTTGGATATTTGGCATAAAAGACTTGGTCACCCTTCGGAGCAAGTTGTCAAGTTGCTTTCTTCCGTGAGTGATTCTACCGATTTAGTGGTCTCTCCTTGTGAAATTTGTCATCGTGCCAAGTAGACCCGTGATTCTTTTTCCCTGAGTATCAATAAAACAAGTAGAATTTTTGAATTAGTGCATTGTGATTTATGGGGTCCATACAATACCCCAGCCTCATGCGGCGCTAAATATTTTTTGACCTTAGTTGATGATTTTTCTCGTGCTGTTTGGGTCTACTTGTTGATTGATAAAAATGAGGTATTTAAAGTCTTCATGTCCTTTATTGCTATGATTGCCCGTCAATTTTCTCAAACCATTAAAATAGTGCGCAGTGATAATGGTACATAATTTAACTGTTTGAGAGACTATTTTCTGCAAAATGGAATTTTATTCCATACCACTTGTGTTGAATATGTTGTTTTGTTGATGACTAATCATGTAGGTGGAATGGCGGACAGAACTGCTCTCAGTTCCATTAGGAACGAGAATTGGAACTATACTTAGTTCTGATCTATATGACTGATTGTTGTGCATAATAGATAAATTAATATGTACCTGCATGATAATACCTCATCTACATGCCTAGATTGATCATGCATATTCCTAGTATACGTGGCACAATTTATATATCTTTCCGTATACGACTAAGCACTCACCTCTATAAGATGGCCTATATAGCTTATGGAAAGAATCATTATTTATGCTACGTAAATATCCTGCACAAATTGACCGTAGCATATTTAGATCCTCTGAGTAAATATTTCCTCATCACTTAATGTTAAAAAGTCATAAGTTTTGGAAAGTATCTTGGGTTGCATGCTCTGTAGCATCTTATTTGAATATCTTACTTATATGATCGTTACATATTCAAACTTGTTAAAAATGACTAATCAATGATTATATAAATATGTTATTGCTACATAATGTTCGTTGGCTGCTTATATTAGGAGAATAAAATATTCTCCTTATATGTGATACATAATATTCTCCATATCTGTTTGTTATTGAGTGAATTACTCATAATATACTTCCATATATATGGTTGACCGAGGATCACCATAATTGAGAGCCGGAAGATCTTTTGAATAAAAGGAAAGGAGAGGCTACGGATGCTATATATATTGGACTGAAGACCAGACGAAAGCGGTGTGCTTGACCGAGCTTCTATTGAGAAATATACACGAGAATATTCACTAAGTCCAAGGCACCTAAACCTGCTCACGGAGTTCCAGACAGAGTTTCTTTTTCCCTTCTTCATATTGTAATTGGGTTTTTGAGGATTGGCTAAGTGTAGCATCCACGGGTTGGTTAGTGTGTTGTGAGAGCTTTGTTGTAAAGCTGAGAGGCTCTCTACCCGCAAGGTAGAGATGCATAACTCTTCCTAGAGAGGATAGAGTTGGGGTGGCTCAAGGGTAGACTAGGAGAGTTTCCCTTGTAATCATTCAAAGGCTTTTTAGTGGAGTTGTTCAAATTCCTCCGAGGGAGGTCGAGGTTTTTTAATCCCTTTGAGCCAAGAGATTTTTCCTCGTTAAATCCTTGTGCACTTTACTATTTCGTAATTCCCTAGACCCCACACTAGAACTGTGCGAAAATCTACCACGGTTCCGCACACACACAATTCACCCCCCTCTTGTGTTGCTAACCGTTTCATCAACTTGTGTGGAGACGCCCCAACAAAATGAACGTGTGGAACGTAAGCATCGTCACATTCTAAATGTTGCACGAGCATTACGATTCCAAGGCAATCTTCCAATTGAATTTTGGGGTGAATGTGTACTTGCTGCGGCTCATCTTATTAATCGAACTCCCTCTCAATTACTTAAACACAAAACTCTGTTTGAAATCTTGTTCGGTGTAGTGATGTCGTACAAATAATTATGTGTGTTTGGTTGTCTTTGCTTTGCACATAATTTGGATGGGAAAAATGATAAATTTGCAAGTAGAAGCCGAAAATGTGTTTTTGTGGGGTATTCTTTTGACAGAAAAGGATGACGGCTCTACGACTTTGATACTATAACAATTTTTCGTCTCTCGTGACGTCAAATTTTATGAGGACAATTTCCTTTTAAGGAATGTACTTCCAGTTCTAAGTCTGGGGAAATTTGGGTGCCTCCCTTGGATATAGACGTTAATTCCCATGCATATGATTTGTTTCCTAGCACTCATAGTGTGCATGATGAGCAGCCAATTGACATGCAAACCTCTCCACCTTCTGTGGACACCAACAGCTTCTTCGGTGGAGCCTACTGTTACTCCGCATGCATCACAAATTGTGCCACAAGACACGTTGGATATGGGTAGAGGAAAACGCACTAAACTCCCGTCGGTTAAGTTGCGAGATTATGCAATTCATACAGTTCTCACTCCCAGTCAGTCCCCCTCCGCATCACTCGTGTCCACCACTTCCTCAGGTACGCCCTTTCCCATAGCTCACTATGTTAGTTGTACAAATTTTTCTCCAAAATATCGTCTATTTTTTGGCTGCCATAACTGCTGGCCGAGAACCTAATTCTTTTCAGGAGGCGGTTGCCGATCCTGGATGGCGAGCAGCCATGCATTCAGAAATCCAAGCACTTGAAAATAATCATACATGGCAGTTGACTCCTCTACAAGATCAAGTATCATTCTGATGGAAGTGTGGAACGTCTTAAGGCACGATTGGTTGTTTTTGGCAACCGCCAAGTTGAGGGCCTGGACGGACTATTACGAGACATTTGCACGAGTGGCAAAAATGGTGACTATACATGCGTTTCTTGCCGTTGTAGCATCAAAAAATTGGGAGCTGCATCAAATGGATGTACACAATGCATTCCTTCATGGGGACCTTGATGAGGAGGTCTATATGTCATTGCCTACTGGGTTTAAAGTATCTGATCCCTCACTTGTATGTCGTCTTAGGAAGTCTTTATATGGGCTCAAACAGGCTCCTCGTTCCTTGTTTGCAAAGTTGGTGACTGCGTTGCAAGGCTATGGTTTTACACAATCATATGCAGACTATTTGTTGTTTATATATACTCGGACCTCTGTCCAACTCAACGTACTTGTTTATGTTGACGACTTGATCATATCAGGCAATAACTCCACCGCTATATCCTCATTCAAAGCATATCTTAATACTTGCTTTCATATGAAGGATCTCAGACCTCTTAAATATTATCTCGAGATCGAAGTGGCAAGGAGCACGATTGGTATTTTTCTTACCCAACACAAGTACGCATTGGATATTATCTCTGAGGTCGGATTGCTCGGTGCGAAACCTGCCAAATTTCCCATCGAGCAACATCACACTCTAGCTACTGCTTCAGGTCCTCTCCTTCCTGATCCGGAACCATTATATTTCGCCGTCTTATGGGGAGTTTAATATATCTCGCAGTAACCAGGCCGGATCTTACATACTCTGTCCATATTTTGTCTCAATTCTTGCAATCGCCACGAAAGGAGCATTGGGACGCCGCTCTTTGAGTTGTCCGATATCTCAAAGGAACTCCGAGACAGGGAATTATTCTTCGAGCAGATTGTGACCTCACTCTGCGAGGCTGGTGTGATTCAGATTGGGCGGCGTGTCCTCTTACACGTCGCTCTATATCCGGTTGGGTCGTTTTTCTAGGCCACTCTCCCGTTTCTTGGAAGAATATAAGAAACAACAGACAGTATTTCGGTCTTCGGCCGAAGCTGAATATCGCTCTATGGCAGCCGCCACGTGTGAACTTAAATAACTGAAAGCACTTCTTCTCAGTCTTGGCATTAATCATCCCCATGCCATACCATTATATTGTGACAGTCAGTCCGCTTTGCATATAGCGAAAAACACTGTGTTTCATGAGCGTACTAAACATATTAAGGTTGATTGTCATTTTGTTCGTGATGCGATTCAAACTGGTGTTATATCTCCCTCTTATGTGCCTACTACGATTCAGCTTGCAGACATCTTCACTAAGGCTCTTGGAAATACTCACTTTGATTTCCTATTGCGCAAGTTGAGCATTCTTAATCTTCATGTTCCAACTGGGGGTTACTATTATTAGTTTTATTTTGCATACTATTAATATTTAATGTTAATATTTCCTTACATGTATTGCACTAGCTATTACGGAAGTTATTTATTTATTGTAGGAAGGTTAGCTGTATTTTATTCCCTTCCTTTTTTATAGTAGCACACTTGTAAAATACTACAAGTATAAGTCAAAGGCTAATTCAAAGAGTAGGATGGAATAATATTGGCTTTGCCATTATCTTCTTTCTTCATACATCCGAATTGTATTACCTACGCCTTCTTATGCATGCTGCACCCTTATTCATTTGTAACATTTTTTATGACTTACGATATAATTTTCAGAATGGTTATAGTTATCACTATCCGAACGTGTATTAATGTTCGTGGGAATGATAAGGATAGGCGGCTGCCCTAGCCAGTAGCCAGTGGTTTTGTGTATTGACCATTAATTTGCATGAAGTCAATTAAATCAAATATTACGTGCCTTAATTAAGGAAAGCCAGATAGACAACTAGCCAGTGGTTTTGGGTTGCCCTAGTCGATAGGGTAGTTTAGAATAAGAAAGTGAGAATAAAATGGAAATGTATGATTGTGGTTGAATAAGAAAAAAGTAAATGAATGTGAGTCACACAAAACTTTCCTAAAAGGAAAATGAAAATTATTTTTTGAGAGGAAATCGAGAAGTATTTTGAAGGACAGTGGTATTTTGAAATCGAGAGTATAAGGAAAAGTAGATTCAAAACTAGCTTGGTAAGTTTCATTTCTTGCCATGTCTGTCACCTTGCCTTCGGTTGGTGCCTTTCACATATAATTAGTTGGGATTATATCTAAGAAAATACTAAAAAAAGAGTTATGGACAAAAAAGAGACCTTTTTTCACTTTCCAAAAAAGGGACCGAGAAGGGGATTAGGACATACTCCGTAACAATAACAATAGTACAATACTAACGTGCTCCAGTAGTCAATTTCCATTAGTGCTCCATTATATTCATAGTGAGTCAATGACCAATAACAATACAGTTACAACAAATCATTAGTGACGAAAAATCCAAATTCCTCCAAGTGACAAACGTTCACCCGCCTAGTGATCGACGTCCGTCCGTACAGACGTACAGTTACAGTTACAGTTACAGTTACCCGACCCGTCCAGTTACAATTACCTAACCCGTCTAGTTACAGTTACATGACGCGCCCGGTTACACATACCCGACCTGTCCAGTTACAATTACTGACCCGCCTAATTATAGTTACAATTACATAATCCATCCGGTTACAGTTACAACATGTCCACTTACAATGACCAATCTGACCGTGACCAATCTGACCGTGATCAATCCGGCCTTGACCAACCCGACCATGACCAACCCGACCATGACTAATTTGACCTTGACCAACCCAACTATGACCAATCAGGTCATGACCAAACATGGCCATTGACCACCCCAGCAGTGAGCGGTCATTGCCCATGCTTCGGCCGCCGCCGTCCATGCTTGGGCCGCCACCTATACTTCGACCGCCGCCGGATCAGCCTTACAAACCTTACTCGACCCCACCAGCGCCCAAGACCTTGTCTGGACCTCATCCCGTGCCCCAGGCAACCAGGTATAGAATGACGTGCAAATTAAAGTCCAATATCACTAAAAATGAGTGTAAAAGTCTAATCCCTTTATATAACTGCGGAATGGAGGGGGATGATTTTCAAAATTGAGTTGGAATGCTATAGTGGTCAACTCATTAGTTTTTAAAACTAAAAGGCAATGAAAAGAATCTATTTTAAATTTATGAGTTGGAATGGTATTATATAATGGTCAATTCATGCATTTTAATCCTATAAAAGAAAAGAAAATCTATTTGACCAATTGCAAAAGGTAAAAGCAAGTCCTACACGGCTATACAAGATAGACAATTAATTAACTAGTGTAGTTTATCTGTCCTAAACAATATGTTGTAGTGTTAGCCGATATTTTTTGTTCTACCGTAATATCGTTTTTAGAAACGTAATTTAAAATTTGTATATATTAATCTTATATGTTTATCCTTATTGACTTCCTCACTTATATTAAATGTTCAGTTACCTTAATAAATTACTATTAAACTTCTACAAAAATAAAGTCTTATATTATAATTAAAAGAGAAAAAGGTCAAATAAGGTCTTCTACTATTACGAAATAGTCACATAAGGTCATGTACTCAATAAAGTGTCATATAAATAGTCATATAAGTACTCACTATTACTGAATTCAACTCACAAACGTAAACTAGTGTGAAGAAATTGCTCGAAATACATTGTTAACTAAATGAAATACAGTTAGTACTGCTCTACCCAATTTGTACGACTTTTTCTTGCATTATTTTGGTCATTGCGTAAAGTTCCTGAAGTTAGAGTCAATCGTGAGGTAGTTAAAAGTTAAAACTGTAGATAATTGTGCAAAGAGAGAAAATTCTAGATTCAATTTCAACGTCTTATTATTATTTATTCTAAAGTGGAGTAGAGAATCGGAGAGTAGAGTTTGATATTTAATTTGTAAATACTTTTTCTTTTCAATTTATGAGATGTGAAATGAAGATGACTAGTTATATGGAAGTGTGATTTGCTTGTAGTTATTTCTAGTTTAAAGTAAATGTAACATCATATTTCCAACTTTAAAACTGGATCATACTGAGAACTTCAATTCATCCGTACATTGTGAATGTTACTGATGCACCAGACCTTTGTGATTTGTGAAGCCCACCCAACTCTAACTTTTGAAGTTGGGTGTTGGAGGGATCGAGGGGAAGATTGATAAGGTTTATGACTCTCCTTTAATGTTTGGAAGTTTATAAAATTGGAGGGAATGATTTTGGAGGGGTGTTGTGACCCTCCAGAACCCTCTAAATGCCCAATTTTTTAGTTCTCCTAATTTCATTTGGAGGGTTGTAAAGGATAATTAACAAAATGGTAATTTAAGTTCAATTAAAAATAAATATCAATTCAATTATTTCAATTTGTCATATCTCAAAGTGATTTTAATTATAATTCATTCAAAAACTCTTTTCTTTCAAATTTATTACTCTCAAATACAAAGAAGAGCTTCCTCACCCTCTCCACCTTTTCTCCTCCGGGCCTCCAAAAATATACCTCCAAAGTATTCCCTTCCTCTTCCCTCCAACAATATATAACCTAATGGTATGTTTGGGACTTCAGGAGGGAGAGACTTTGGAGGTAAGTTGTTGGAGGGAAAAAGGAAGGAGGGAGGGGGTGAGGAAGCACTTCTTTGTATTTGGGAGTAATAAGGATGTTTTTACTTAGACTATAATTTGCTGGCCTGATCTGGTCTGGTCTGGTCTGGTATGGTCTGGTCTGAACTGGTCTGGTCTGGTTTCTTTGTATTTTTATAACTATCCAAGTCTGGTCTGGTATGGTCTGGTCTGAACTGGTCTGGTCTAGTCTGGTCTGGGACGAATTACAGTCCAAGTAAAAACATCCTAAATTTGGAAGAAAAGATCGAGTTTTTGAATGAATTATAATTAAAATCACTTTGAGAAATGATGAATTATTTTTAATTAAACTTAAATTACCATTTCATTAACTATTATTCAAAACCTTTCAAATTGGAGGAACTTAAAAATTGAGCATTTAGAGGGTTTTGGAGGATCCTGAAAGCCCTCCAAAACTATCCCCTCCAATTTTATAAACTCTCAAACATGAAAAAGAGAATTATAAACCGCCATTAACCTTCCACTCCCCTCCAAAATTCAACTCCCAAACACATCCTAAGTATCTCACTTAGCATGGATGGGTCTTTGGACCCTTCACGGTATGTTGCATTAAGGAGTTAATTAACACACTAACACGTGTATGTTCACCAAGTATTGCTATATGGCGGTCAAGACACGTGGAACATGCACACCTGTCATCAAGGCACGTCGAACATACACATATGTCACCCAATTAGTACGTAGAAGCAATATGAAATCTCCAGCCAAGTAAGCTAGAGTGTATCACAATGTTTCCACTTTTAGTTAGTATAATTCAAGTAGTATGTATCTCTACGTGGTTAATAATAATATTAATAAAATAACAATAATAATAGTTATAATAACAATAGTATTGTTCAAGTTTACATTATTGTAACAATGATGTTACGCTTATAGTAACTTTACTCACATTTTTATCCATAATTTTAAGTTCGGTAACATTTTAGCAAAAACCTTTTTAAAATTTGTATTGTCGTCAATATTTGCCCTTAAAGTTTCAGTAACTTTACGCACTTATTATATATTCATAAATGTTATAAGACCTTAACTTAAAAGTGGATTGACTATTATTGAGCTTTTACAAATATATCGTATAATAATTATGACTAAAATCTTGTTACTAAAACTGGAATTCGACTGGAAATGAATGTATAAAACGGAGCGGAGACGCGGAGTATAGCCTTTTGTAAATATGATGATATTTATTCGTTAAATGGGCTGAACTATAAAACTCGGTCCAAATTTATGAAAAGATAAAATAGGGATGATCTATAATGTTAGTAAAACACATGCCTAACTCCATTTTTTTTCTTAAAATGATGCATAATATCATGTCTTGCTTTGAGAAGTTACTAGTTATTCCACCCGTGCGTTGCACGGGAGTGAAATACCTACACAATAGTATGTGTTGGATAATTGATACCCATATTGTATGAAAAGGAGATTTGAACAAGAATGTAGTAGGGAATGAAGAAGAAGATAAGTGTGTATAGAATGAATATTGGTTGTATGAGTTGTGTAGCCTCCTAAAGGAGTATATATAGGGAAAATCCGGGTCTGGGCCTCTAATATAGGCCTGACAGATCCGATTACATAAATGGACTGATAGTACAAAAAACTAATCTAGAACATCTGAATAATAATAATAATAATGTACAATAATATGAATGATATCCGCTAAACGTGTGTGGGCCGCTGTCCAGGCCCAGTAGTCGGAGTCCATATATTCCATCAGGAGTCCCCCACTCCCTGAGTCGAGAGTACTCGAGGCGAAAGGGAGTAGTCCAAACTGTATCTGCAACGTTCTTCTGTCCTTGATTTCTTCCTTTCCAGCCGGGGACCACCACCCTTGTCCATGATGGGGAGGTGCCTCGTTAAAAATCTTTACTAGGAAAAAACCCTATGGGAAAAAATCCTAATAAAGGGAAAAAGAGTACACCTAGCGCCCCCAACATGAAACAAGGAAGGTAGGCCCCTTTCGGCATAATCATTTTTGTCTGG